CTGTGAAATTTGACTCTACATAGCATGCATCCTCCCGTTGCAACACAACCAGCTCTTCGGATGAACTCCTAGCGTCTTCTGTGATTCTATTATAATATCCAGTGTAGAATTCCCCATTATTGATATTTGCGATTTGAAAACGATAATAGGCTTCAAATATAACCACAAGTTAACGTGAATAGGGGGTCTCTTCCAGTAAGGGGGCATGTAGCGCGACAGTTCAATTTACATGAAGAAATCCACTATTTTCAGGAGGAGGGAAGCTCCGGGGTGGGTGTAAAAGCTTAAGCGAAATGGTTCACGCACCCGGGGTTCCCTACCCTTGCAAAAATTGGAATTTCTGTAGCCGACAGAACTGTCACACCACATGCCCCCCCTTACTGGATGAGACCCTGAATAGGTTTTACCGGAGGTGTTGAATGAGTCCTGAATTAATTTCTTTGAATTCTGAAGTATTCATCTTCTATACAAAGACCTCTTCTTATCTGATAAGCAAACCAATCACGTATGCCTTCATGGAATTCGACGGCTTTTTCGTCCCCTCCTCGAGAAAATTCCTCCTTTTGAGAATAACTATAGAAGGACATGATTTGCTTAGAAAGGCTACGACTACGTATTACAAGACCATGACTATAGAAATCATGCGCTATAGTCACGCTATGAGTCACCGCATAGCCGGAGGTAGACATTTATTTTGAGTCGCTTATGCCTGATCATACAGCCTCAATAAACCCTCAAACGGGAGGAAGCTCGTGTGCATACAATTAGCTGCTAATCAATGGAACGATTTATAGCTCTCGTAAGGCCCTTCAACTTCTGTCCCAACTACATGCATTCCGTTCCTCACTTTTGGTTTCTTTTAAATACAAGGTTTCTTTGAATTAAACGCTCAAGGGTGCTTCTCGTCCTTCCATATCTCAGCTAGATCACAAATTCCTTTGTTTGTTTTGCTAGTTAGGAATATTGTCTATTCCAATACGGACACGAATCTTCGTTTTCAGGTTGAGGCTGATCGCCTTTCAATATTCTAATTATGGAACCATGCAATAAATACAGTCATAAACCAGTTATTGATTTTACGCGC